ATATATATATATATATATATATATATATATATATATATAGCTAGCTCAAGATGTAACGCTTTCTTCCAGGACATGCGTGAACTAAAAATCAAGTCTTCTTTACCACATAACCATTAAACGCTAGCACACATATCGCTTATTACTGGAATTCTCTTTTTATTTGAACTATCTATTAAAATTCACTTACGATGTCTTCATAATGTTTCTGAAAGTCCTCTCTATGCCGCATACTATGTATTTGAAGCGTATGAACTCTAAATTTGTCACATGAAACTAAATATGACACCTGTATCGCATTTTCAATAGTAAATACAAAATTTTTGTTGATTTTAATGCAACTTTTTAGTATGCGGCATTCATTATCGCTTATACTTTCACGCTGTAAAAGCATTTGCAGTTTTATGCATGCAATTAGAAGAAAAGAGTATTCTACGAAAACGAGCCTAGCAGCCTTAAGTGTTTATTACTTATTACAATTTGATAAACAACCTCTTAATGTGCCTATAATTATATATATTTGAATAAATATATTTATTTAGATTGAATAAATTTTATTTTAATGTGTGTAAATATTATTTACGAAAGTATGATTATCCTGAGAATTTTCTTTTCATTATACTCTCTTTTCGCACTAAGCCTTCAAATAATATTACAATGATTGTTGATTAAATTAATCACGTTATCAATGATCTGAGAACGATCAGCAGAAGTGACTTACCGAAACACGCGCATGTCGGTTCATCTGCTAGAAAATATGTGCACATGTGTTCAAGTGCATCTTCGATTCTATCTGCGGAGATCTCCTGGATCGTGAATTTAATCGGTCGTCCATCTCTCTCTTTGCCCGTTTTCTCAATCACGTCCCAAATTTTCGGCGGACCCGGCGGCTTGACTATCTGAGTCAATTTCAAAATACTTTGTTTGTTCATTTTTCGTGTACAATACCGTATCTAGTAGCAAATGCGTCAAGATCTCACAATACACTAAATGTCATGATGATAAATGATTCTCGATGAACAGCACGAAGAGAATAAGTTCGTTCTCGACTACTCTGTGATTTTCGATTAAGTCAGGCTAAATTACGTATCTACTATATCATCGCTACGTTACGCATGAAGCGGTCTCAACCAACTTGCAACGTTATTGTAACAAAATGTTATTATTACGTCCTGCACGTATCTATTAAACAATTTTTTTCTCATTATATCATTCTTGCATTAATAATAGACACGTGTTGCAATGAAATCAAGGTGACCGACGTGCCTGTTAACCATGAATCAGAATTTTACGTAATACATCCGAAGTTAAATGCATCACGACTCGGGATTACAAAGTAATCTCTTGACAATTATCTGATCGCCCAAGTAGGAATTTACCACAGTACCGATTTTTGTAAATGTTACTGGCATAGTACCAGATGTCAGTACGGGTTTAGTATTGACGTGATACTGGGATGATAGAAAAGGGCCAGTATCGGAAAATAGTACTGTCACAGTACCGAAAATTAGTACCGTAACAGTACTGTAGGATCCAATACGAATTTAATTTGTCAGCAGCGAGTCTCGCCGTTATCTATTTGTGTTTATGTTTACCTGTTTACCTGTCGCAAAATTGTATTGTATCGTGTTCAAAAGAAGTCGAGAGTGATGAGTCACGCGAGTTGTGCGTGCTCGTGAATAAACAATCCGCGCGAGATATCGAGACGTTAAGATCTGACGATCAAATCGGGCCAATAAGAGCCACACCAGATCAGAAGATGACATGATCAAGAATATAAGACGCTGGAGAAAAGGACAGAGAGCAGAGCTCACCCGGGTTTTCCACGCAAGAGTTGACGATGTATTTTCATATATATTATACGTTATACAAAATATACATTTTGATCACAAATAACGACCTAACTAGTTATTAACGCCTAAATTTCCATCCATTTCTCCCTCTGCCCAATAGATCCTACAGATTTTTTGGAGACTCGTCCGGGATCGAGTAGAGTAGAGAATTTCTGATTCCACGAGTTGTTGAACGGTTGGATAATGTAAGATTTTGCAGAGGAGTCTTGGTGAGGAGTAGCAGTAAGACTTGAGGCGTGAGGTGGACGAATCTATTATAAAAAAATGAGTGTGAAAGGTCCGTCCAATTTTACAATAAGTCAACTAAAGGGAAAGCTAAAGGAGTTGGTCTTTCGCAAGCGGGGAGCAAGGCAGAGTTGATCGGTCGCTTGGAGGAAGCGAATCCCTCGGACGGATATCAGAGGTAGTGCCCGAGATACCGGAGCGCGACGAATAGTGTGAACCAGAAAGAGTCGAATATGAGAAGGACGACGACAGCGCAGCGAGATTGGGAAATAGATATGTATCGCCGAGAAAAAGAATTAGCGAAGCGCGAATTGAAAACTGCACGGAGAGAGTTGGAGATGGGAGTCGGGGAGATGCAACGTTGAGTGCAATGGAGCGAGCTCAAGAGAGACGAGAAAATTTTGCATGCGATATATCAAGAACTAGTATTGATGCAATTGCCGATTTGCTTGCTTGCTTGCTTGCTTCGATGGCAATATCGACGACTATGAAAATTGGGAGAAGCAGCTTAGATTGTTGAGAGTGACATATCGACTATCAGATGAGCACGTAAAGATTCTGATCGGCATGCGGTTAAAGAGAAAAGCAGTAGAATGGCTACAGTCAAAACCCGAATGCATAGAATTGCCAGTGGACACGTTGCTAAACGAGATGCGAGACATGTATAATCATCGTCCTAGCAAGAAGATATTAGAGAGGAAGTTTGAAAAACGTGTGTGGAAGAGAGAGAAAACTTTTCATCAGTACGTCCACGAGATAATTTTAGGAAATCGTGTTTCGATCAGCGAAGACGAGATCATCGATTATATCATCGACAGAATTCCAGTGACGAATTTGAGAGATCAAGTGTGTATCGGCAGGTTCACGACAAAGGTTTCGTTGTTGCAAGCTTTCAAGAAAGTAACCTTGTGCGACAAAATAATGCCATGTGATTCGTGGATGGTACGAAGAAAGCGGAGCAGGGAAGGCAGAATGGTAATGATCAACGGCAACGTGGAGGCAATGGAAGGATGAAGGGCGAAATGAGAGATGAGGACAAGAGGCATTGTTTGAATTATGGGTAGCGTAATCACACGAGTGCGAACTGCCGGACTAGGAGGTCGATTATGTATCACAAAATGTAGTAAAAATAACGAAGTAAGCATTCACTTGATTGTATAAGTTTTGCTATGGTGAAAATATTTCATGTGAGGTTATTCGACAAGAAATTTTATGTCGAATTATGTAAATTATGTCCATGTCTCTATTTAAAGCAGTGTTTTTCACTAGGTTATTCTTCATATTTACAGTTGCGTTGGAGAATTCGTACATTCCGCATTTAAGTTTTGAAGAATATAAAAGAATAAATCGCAGAAATGGAATATTTTATTGTGTCATAATGAGGAAGAAAATAATAATAAAAAGAGACAAAATTTAAATATAATATAACAAAATTTAAATATAATATGAAAGAAATTACGGGACACTCAAAATCCATTTGATGTAGAGGAAAATACATTTACAAAATTATATAGCCCTTATAGAAATCATACTAAGAATCATTGATAATTACTTATTATCCAGTATTTTTAATACTGAAAATAAGTAATTATCAATGATTCTTAGTATGATATTTCTATAAGGAAGGTATATGTCATATAATATATAATATTATATAATATATATGTCACATATAAAATTATATAAATAATTATATACAGTTTAAATAAAATCTATAAACTAAATAGTTTGTAAATATAATTACATTCACATAACATATAAAACAAATATTGAATAGACATCCTAGGAACGTCTTAAGAATATTCGAATATCTGTGTGATATTTCTAAAATATCTTTTGAATATTTGTATTATGTGGGAGTTGACAGATTTTTTTTTATAATTTACTTATAATATATCAAAGTCAACCCCCCTTTCTTTCCCTTCTCCCTATTCCCCTCCCATTCTCCCTCTCTCCTTCTCTCCCTCTTTCTCTCTCTCTCCCTCATTTTTCTTCCTTATTTTTTTTTTATAATTACATACTGCAATACAGTATATATATAATATAGGTATACATAACTACATCATATACTTGTTTTTCTTATTTTAGGTTATCTATAGCTGCCACAATGGAATTAATAGAGGAATTACTTCCCTATATACCACAGAAAACAAGAAGTACAGCAATACCTCAACATTTCCAAGTAATTAAAATACTTTATACGTTCTTTTATTATTTCTTCTATTTTAAATATATGTCTATATATTTGTACATAAATTTCATAAAATTTTTAGATACTAGTAATTCAACATTTCCGATCATTTGGTTCCTATCAAAGAAAGCTGGGACAAGATTTTTTTTCGTGCATGTCAAACATCGATATTTGTTTCCATTTATAAAACAGTAAACGCACTTAATAGAATAATGGGACATTGTATTCAATTTCCCATTAAAGAAAAAAACAGCCCCCCATGGAAGAAAAAAACAGCTGATCAAAGAAGAGTACGTATACAAATACCTGATATAAACAAAAATTCGTTCGAAATGTACATATTATAAAATACATTTTAATTTATTTTTGTATTACTGTTATTTTAGATTTTTTATAAATACTGGATTTCCTGGAATCATTGCGGCAATACAGGGTGCGGCGCCAAAATCCGGACAAAATTCAATTTGAAATTCTTGCCATTCTATACCACTGGTAGATGTCGCGATTAGCGTTCAAATAGCTTGACGCATGTACTAAACCATCATAACCTCGAAACAATGTCGAAACAATGTCGAAACAGTCGCAATGTTGAAACCAAGTGCAGAGTATAACCGAAGAGCCGCGATTATCGAAAGTGTTCGCGCTGGGCGCTCGGCGACAGAAATTATTCGGTTCTTCGGGTTTCCGAGATCGACTGTATATGATGTCATCGCAAAGTACAATGAGTCGGAGAAGTCCAATGAAGGTTTTGCAACACCGGCGAGGAAAACCTACTCGAAGGAGCGCGTTGTCAGGACGCCCGACATCATTCAACGGGCTCAGCAGCTGATTTTTGAGGATCCAGGGCAGTCGATCCGAAAATTGTCGTCGGTTGTTGGTGTGAGCGAGAAAACTATGCGTCGAATCGTCGAGAAGGACCTCCGCTACAAGTCTTAAACAATTAAAGTGAGATAGATGCTTTCCGAAGCCGCCAGGACAAAGCGAGTTGAACGCTGCAACCTGCTTTTATGTTCCTTCTGGCCTCCCAACAGCCCAGATTTGAATACTTTGGACTTCTATGTATGGAGCGTAGTTGAAAGGGTCACGAACAAGTCCAGACATCCAAACGTCGCATCATTGAGAGCCGCTATTGAAGCGGCATTCACCGATATGGACCGTGACACATTAAAGTGTGCCTGCGCGCGCTTCAGACCGAGAATGGAGACGGTCATTCAAGCAAGCGGGGGATATACTGAGTAAATGTGTTCTTTATGGCCTTACAAACAATGTGGTTAAAAAAATTTTGTAAACCTTTTCGTTTTTGCAATAAAAAATATGTTTGGAAAAAATGTATAATTTGTCCGAATTTTGGCGCCGCACCCTGTAGATAGAACTTGTGTTGCTATCTTTTCCCCAGAAACTGCCAGAGAATATTTATTTATTAATAGAAAATTGTCATTCTCTGAATGTTATGATCGTAAGTATAACGTACAAAAATTTTTAAAACAGTTTACATTAACATTAAGCATTATATTATTTTATTATTTAAGTCATCATTTGTATAATTGTGATGATATGAATATTTTTTTCTAGGTCTCTTCGTATAATGCCGAAATATTAGCGGTTAATGCAATGCATGGAAGAAGAACACACGACTCGAGAGTTTTTTGTTCTTGACATTTATTTAATTATCTAAAGACAATAAGAACTAGGCGAAAAAGCATCATGACTTATTGGTATAATATGTTAATGATTTTTCTATTTTTGTATTTATATATTATTTTTTATTTCAATAAAATATTAGTTATAATTCATATAAGTTATAAAAACGTTCTAATAAAATTAATCTATTATGTTTGATTATTCTGTATAGCATTATATATCTAATATACATACATACTAATAATATACATACTAAATATACATATTTGTAGGTGATGCTGCGTATCCTCTCATATCGTTTCTGTTAAAAATTTTTATAAATCCACCTGGGGAATCACCTGAAGCTAGATATGCAAACCATGTAGTCCAAGCTCGATCAGCAGTAGAAAGATGTATGGGCATTTTAAAAGGACGATTATGGTATTTAAGAAAAGAAAGAGCACTGTATTATAAATCAGACTTTGCTAGTATGAAGTATATATTTTAAAAGAACAAACTTATACTCAATACATAAAATAAGGTCATTAAATAATATTTCTATTTTATAGCTTGTATTGTAAACGCATGTTGTGTTTTACACAATGTTGCTGTGAAATGGAGACTTCCACCAGAAGAAATATGTTTGGACGATATAGATGAAGAATTACAGATACCATATGATGATGATAAGGCAAATAACGCAGAACAAATTCGAAGAAATATAATTCGATAGTATTTTCAACAATAATATTTTACTTTTCTATTTATATGTATTGTGTATGAGTTGTACGTATACTTATACATGTATTAGGTCGGTAGGAAAATAATGTCGGTTTTTAACTTTTAACTTTAAATGCATATACCTCAGCTCAGAGTAAAGTGTATTAATCGAAATAAGAACCATTACAATCAACATATTTTTGCCAACGAGAAACAAGTTTATTTATTCCGGTAACGTAGATTCCTGGAATCGCTAAAATCTCGGAAGACATTTGCAACAGCACCGTGATTGTTGAAGACTTTATCTTGCAGGAAGTGGTCGAGATGCTCAAAAAAGTGGTAATCGGTTGGTGAGAGGTCTGGCGAATATGGTGGGTGAAGCAGAGTTTCATAGCCTAATTCATTCTGCAGCGTCGGTTGTGCGACGTGTGGCTGGGCATTGTCGTGAAGAAAAATGGGATCTTTTCTATTGACGCCGGGCGTAGATGTTGCAGTTTGCGGTGCATTTCGTCGATTTGTTGATAATACTTTTCTACTGTGATAGTTTCTCTGGATTCAGGAAGTTGTAGTAGATCAGACCGGTTGATGACCAACAAACTGTCACTATGATCTTCCTTTGGTGTAGCTTCGGCTTTGGGAAGTGTTGTGAAGCTTCGCCGCAGTCCAACCACTGTGTTGAGCGCCGCCGGTTGTCGTATAGAATCCATTTTTCGATCCACATTGCGATCGAGGAATGGATCGTTGTTGTTGCGCAAAAGAAACGCAGAGCACATTTTATAACGACGATTTTTTTTTATTTTCATTCAATTTATGCGGCATCCATTTGTCGAGCTTTTTTGATTTTCCAAGTTGCCTGAGGTGATCTAGAACTGTTGTATGACTTACGTCTAACTTTATAGCAAGCTCTCGAATCGTTGTGCGCGAATCTGCCTCGACCAACACCTTCAATTCGTCGTTGTCAACTGCCGATGGACATCCACGACTTTCTTCATCTTCAAACCTCTCATCATCATTCCGAAATTTTTGAAACCAACGTTGTATCATACGTTCGTTTTCGGTTCCCTGGCCGAATGCGCTGTTGATGTTACGAGTCGCCTCTGCTGCTTTATAGCCTAGTTTGAACTCCTACAAGAATATCGCTCGTAATTGTTTCTTTTCCATCATGAATTCTATAAATAATAATGAACACAAAATAATAGTAAAAATAAAACTAATAGCAGAGAAATATAGAGCGAAATCTGCGCTTTAAAATCGTATATAAAATAAATATATTAAAAGAAATATTTATTCCAAAAACAAGTAGCAAAGTCATAAAATCGACATTATTTTCCTACCAACCATATATATATATATATATATATATATATATATATATATATATATATATATAAACATAACTTTTTATATATTACTTATTTACAGATATTAAGAAACCGAAACTTATGACGACCGCAATAAATTTAATAGAAAAAATAAAAAAGTATTAACATCGGAAAAACGTCTACATAAGAAAATATTAAATTACAATTCTTAGAAATGAAACGACAAAAATTACAATTAAAACAAGAAGAAATAAATGTTCATAAAGATATGTTACAACAATTGCAAAATATTAATACAACACTATCATC